CCACAGGGCCTGGGTGTGGGTGTGACATGTGTGTCTGTACCTAACACACATGTACAGCTCTCCACAGGGCCTGGGTGTGGGTGTGACGTGTGTGACTGTGCCTAACACACATGTCGACGGCTCTCCCACAGGCTGGGGTGGGGGAAGCTCCTGTGATGGGCCTTTCCTTGTCTGCCATGTAGGGAACATCAGGATACCAGAGATTGGACAGGCTGTCTGGGGGCTGGTGTGTGTGGTGTGTGAGTGTGTGTGTGTGTGTGTGTGTGTGTGTGTTTAAATCAACGTTACTATCACAAAGACCCAACTGCAGACCCCATTTCTGCTGGTTGTTGAAACCAACACACCATGAGGAAGAGTCAGCAGAACAAACTAAAATAAAATTAGCCGGTTTTTCTTCTTCCTTCAAGAAATTTTACCAGGTGGTGGTGGTGGTGGTAGTAGTAGTAGTGGCACACACCTTTAATCCCAGCATTTAGGGGGCAGAGGCAGACAGATCTCTGTGAGTTCGAGGCCAGCCTGGTCTACAGAGTGGGTTCCAGGACTGCACAGTGAAACCCTGTCTTAAAAAACAAAAAAACAAACAAACAAAAAACAAAACCCTCACAATGAAAATGAAAGAAAGAAGTTTCAAGAATACGATGAACACAATCAGAAGTTTTCTGTTTTGTTTTGTTTTTTAAAGTCCACTAGTTAGTTCAAGCCATATCAGTACTTGGAGCCTTGATGGCTGCATCTGCCCAGTGGGAATTAAGAGACAATAGAGGAGAGCTGCAGAGATGGCCCAGCCATGAAGAGGATCCAGGTTCAGGTCCAAGAATCCACATGTCGGCTCACAACCATCCATAATTCCAGTTCCAGGGAATCCAACACCCTCTTCTAACCTCCTTGGGCACCAGACACACATGTGGAACACATACATGCATGCAGGCAAAACACTCATACACATAAAATAAATATATCTATTTAGAAAGAGAGAATTCAGGGGCTAGGGACATAGCTCAGTTGGTAGAGTGCTTGCCTAGCATGCCTGAGGCCTTGAGTTCAAGCCCCAGCACTGTGTCAGCCGAGCATGGTAGTGCTCACTGTGAACTAGAACTCAGTGGGTAGAATTGGGAGGAACAGGAGTTCAAAGCTATCCTTGACTATATATTGAGTTTGAGGCCAGCCTGGGCTATAAGACCTTGCTTTAAAAAAAAAAAAAAAGGAGGAAAAGATAGGTAATAAATACATGGACAGTACTTATGTGTGTGGGTGCTGGTACTGATACACTGGGGACATTTTGTGGAGAGGGATGGGTGAGAGAGACAGAAGTCAGGTTCAGCCAGCCAGAAGCACTGGGAAGAGCTGAGGATGGGGTAGGAGTAGAGTCGGGTGGGTTTAGGGGGAACCTGGCCACAGATGATAGGCCCCCAGTACAACTGAATCACTAGGGGAGGTTGGTGTGCACACAGTGAACTTGGTGGCAACAGGAAGTCTAGGAGCAGACAAGGCAGGGTTGCCTAGGAGACAAAGAGGCAGGTGTCAGATGAAAGCCCAGAGCTCTAAGGCTGGACCTGAGGGGTCAGAGAAGGTGAGGCTCCTCTGGATCCAGTGGGATAGACGGCAGAGTGGAGGTGTGACCCAGGAGCCAGATGTGGCGGCACACACTTTTAATACCAGAGGCAGAGGCAGGTGAATCTCTGAGTTTGAGCCCAGCCTAGTCTACAGACAAAGTTCCAGGACAGCCAAAGCTATACAGAGAAACCCTGCCTTGGAAAACCAAAAATCAAACAATCAATAAATAAATAAATAAAATTTAAAAAATAAAGACAGGATCTTGGGGGCTGGAGAGATGGCTCAGAAGTTAGGAACACTGGCTCCTTTACCAGAGGATCTGGGTTTGGTTCCAAGCACCCACATGGTGGCTTACAACTGTCTATAACTCCAGAGGATCTGATACCCTCTTCTGGCCTCCACAAGCACCAAACATGCATGACTGCACAGACAAATATGCAGTAAAACACCTATACAAAAAATAAAAATAGGATCTCTGTGAGTTCGAGGCCAGCCTGGACTATAGAGTGAGTTCCAGGAAAGGCACAAGGCTACACAGAGAAACCCTGTCTTGAAAAACCAAAAAAAAAACAAAAACAAAAACAAAAAAACAAAAAATAAAAATAAATAAATAATTTTTTAAAGTTAAAACAAACAAACAAACAAAAAGACAGGATCTTACCCCATGGCCTAGGCTAGCCTTGAACTCAAGATAGTCCTGGCCTGGCCTCATGAGTGTTGAGATTACAGGCGTGTACCACCACAGCTCACACTCTGTTAAGTGCTCAAGGGTGTGTTCGTAAGGAGTGGCCAGGATGCCCAGTCAGAAGGGCGACTCAGCTGGAGGGAGTCTGTGGATGAAGGTCACCTGGTGTTGATCGACAGGAAGGGATGGCTTCAGGACCTGTGAGCCAGGAAGGCCATTAGGAGGCTGCTCCTGGCCTATGTGCTGGAAGATTGAGGGCAAGAGAGTGCCCACTCTGAGCCTGACTTCACCCGCTCACAACCTGTTTCTTTGCAGGTTCATATCCACAATGCAGTCCTGGCAGGAGGCGTGGCTGTGGGTGCCCCATGTTCCCTGATTCCTTCTCCTTGGATCGCCATGGTGCTGGGCCTCACAGCTGGGCTGATCTCCATTGGGGGAGCCAAGTGCCTGCCGGTAAGGAACTGGACAGTTACTGTCTCAGGGTTTCTATTGCTGTGAAAAGACACCATGACCATGGGAACTCTTATAAAGAAAATATTTGATTGGGGTGGCTCACTTGCAGTTTCAGAGGTTCAGTCCATTATCATCATAACAGAGAGCATGGTGGCATGCACGCAGATGTGGTGCTGGAGTAGTAGCTGTGAGTCTTATATCTCACAGGCAACAGGAAATTGACTGAGATACTTGGTGGTATCCTGAGCATAGGAAACCTCTCTAAGCCTGCCCCCACAGTGACTCACTTCCTCCAACAGGGCCACACCTCCCAATAGTGCCACTACCCTTGGGGGCCATTTTCTTTCTTTCTTTCTTTCTTCTTCTTCTCCTTCTTCTCCTTCTTCTTCTTCTTCTTCTTCTTCTTCTCCTCCTCCTCCTCCTCCTCCTCCTCCTCCTCCTCCTCCTC